GAGTATAAAATAATTTTTTAAAATTTTAAAGATATTATAGAAATTATTAATAAAGAATACTTATACTTATATTTATACTAAAAATACTTATAAATATTAATTTTTACATATTTAATTATTTGTTGCAAGCAGAAAAAAATTGAAAATTAAAATTATTCTTACTATTAATAACCATTTAAAAATAAAAATAATAAATAAGTGGATCCTTATTGATATGGACTATGAAGTGTGACAAATCAGTTGTCCCAATTGGGCACACAGGAGAATAGTGATCGGTGAGGAGTGTACATGAAACTATTCAAGATAAATTTATTTTTATTGTTATTAGATCAGAAATTTTATAAAATTCGATTAATTCAATTTATAAATAAAATACATCATTTTTAATATTTTATACAGTTAAACTATTAAACTAATAAAATATCTTTAATAATACATTTATGAAAGCGAGTTATAATGTAACAATTATCTATTAAATTTTAAAAATTTAATATTAACATATAATTGCTTAATATATATATATATATAAAACTTGTAAGAGTATTGGTGATAGGGTCTTTGTAGCACCCTGCATTTGCAACGTAAAGCAGAGCATTTGCTTGTGTTGGTCGTAGGAATGATGGGACATGATTTGGTTTGTTTTAGTTTTTCTAAATAAACGTAGACCGAGACGGGTGAGTAAACCATTAATGAATTATATTTTTATTGCTTATGAATGATGTTTAGTACCATAGCTGAAATCGTTGCACTAATTTCGGGTGTTTTAGGTTTTTTCAAGCTTGGCATATACAGCAGGAGGATTTAAGGTTCTAACACTTAATCAGGACTAAATTGATATATTTAAATTCTAATGTTATCAGGTTTAGTTAAACAATTCAAAATATCTCAAATTTTGGTAAAATTAATTTCAAATAAAAATGAGTTAGTGAAAATAGTTCCCGGTTGACTTTCTTTCAAGTATTTAACACACTTGTAAAGTGAATTTAAATTCAAAATCATATGTTAAAGTAAAACAATATTTACCAATTAATCCATATACTCGGAAAGTTATTATATATTCTAATTAGTTGATAATGTAAGAATTTTCACACTCACAGCACACTAGAATTAATCTCTAATTTTTTAAATCTATTCTATTAAATCAAATTAATTTTTTTATTTAGTTATTCAAACAAATAGAATTTTTAATTTCCTTTTATTACTAAATATACTATTTATTAACTGATTAAAAACTTAAATATTAAGATAATATTTAATATAAAATTTATCTAAAATTTGTTTGTATTAGCGAACGATGTTACATTTTGGAGAAAAGACACCTTGAATAGATATCTTTGAAAATATATCATACTTATATGATAATTTCTATGTTTAAATTTTTTCTCAAAAATATTTAATTAAGATAAATTATGATTTAAAAATAAAGTTTCTTCTCTTTTGATACCCAATTATATAGGACTCCAATAATTTTAATAGGAATGATTTATAAAATATTTCATGAGAATGAATGTTGAATTGGTAAAAATAACGTTCAAAATATATGCCTATAATAATTTTGAGCAGAGATATTTTTTCAAAACTTGAAACATACATTAAAAAAATCTATATGCATCTAAATATTCTCAGAAAAGTAAAACTAAATCATGAAAGGTTGTCTTTCTTGTACTAAAAAAATGTTGAGATAGTTGTAAAATAGATTCTCAAACTCTTTTTAACTTTTGAAAAACTTTATCTAAACAAAACTTAAATATTTTTAGGAATAACTTTTACTGCCAAAAAGTTGTTTGACTTTATGAATAAGTCTTTATAAAAGAAGAAAAATAATATAAAAATAAATAAAATTGTTTACGTAAGTTAAAAATAATTTTTTTTAAGTTTTAAAAAATATAAATTAATTTTAACTTATAAAAATAATTTATTTAATTTTTATATAATTTTTCTATTATAAAAACTTATTTATAAATTCATCTAAAGTATTTCATATTTATAGAAGTAGAAAGAATAATTCTCATATAATTTAGACATATATTTTAGGTTACATAATAAAAATTTATGCATAATAAAAAGACAAGTGTGTGATGAAAAAGCTAGGTAGTATAATAGAAAAATAAAGAAACTTATCCTATAAACATGTATTTTCAAAGGAAAATAAAGGAAAAGAAAACCAGTCACACATCACACCATATATGACTTAAGGCACGTTACTTTATGCAATATAGTGACCAAATATTGGATAATCCGTTGCTAAACATGATTCGGAATTTGATTCGTGGGTCATTTTAAATTAATTTAGAGTGTGATTAGAAGGATGCTTAAATTTTTTATAAATATAGTGAATAGATATAAACATATTTTAATTAATGTGTTAATATATTTAGTTTATTTATATTAAAATTAATTTATGTTTAAATAAGTTTAATTAATTATACACTTTGTATATTTATATTGATTTTCTGTAAACTTTTATGAAAGAACCTTTTAAATATAACTTATATTAATTTGAACTTATTTTGAAGTAAAATTATTTTTTAAAAATTAAATTAATTTAAGTTAAGTTTGGAAATATTCGCACAAACGCACTCTCAAGGGTTTAGATTCACAATTGCGAAAAAAATGGTATCGGAATATATATGACGTAAAGAAGCCAAATTTTGGTACAAATACGTAACACGGTAGTTATGATAATGAGATTGACTCTGATCTGTACTGAATTTCACTTCCCGTGAGGTAGGGATATTAAATTAAACATAAAAAACAACGCACTTGAGCCACTGAAGAAACATGTGAGTGCAATCAGCACCACCATATCTCTACAAATTAGTTCCAGCACCTAATTAATCATTAAACATTTCAATTAATTAGGTTTTTGTCACATTATTGGCTTTGCTAGTGTTTTACACATCTGCATTATTATATATTTGTCAGAATTTTCCCTTTCAGGCGTATTTGAAGAATGTCACGTACATAATGCATTTTAAATGTGTCCTACGCGGACTTGTTTTGCCTAAGGTGGTGGCGTTAGCATCAAGTTATCCATTTGAGTGGTAAAAAAAGAGATCTTATACCAGAGTGAAAATGAAACCAACGTTGCACTGATAAGGAAAATCTTACCCTGTCTCCATATCTAAACAATAAAACCGGAAAGTGTGTGGCCAGGAATTAAAATGGCTAATCAAGCAAACAAAGGAAATCAGTCATTTTCCATCAAACTTATTTCCGCTACACACGAAAACTATTGGACGAACCATTAGCACTACCAAGTTATTTATTCTATATTGGTTTCAATTTATTCTTATATAATAAAAAATAGAAATCTCCTCATTTTCAAATTACATTTAATCATATTTTTTATTCTTACTTTTTATTATATTTGTTTCTTTAAAACTTATAATTCAATTTTTTAAATGTATAAAGATATATAATAAAAAATAACTGAAAATGTTAGAATCATACCGATTGTAAAAAAATGACGGAAAATTATTTTAAACGGTTTGGTGACATATAGAGAGAAGAATTAACGAAAACAGTGGATAATATGACTTTTTAGTTCATTAATCGAATTCAATTACGTTGTGGGATTTATAAAGTCAACTTTACTTAATAGATTAAGATTTTTGTTGTTATTTTTTAAAAATATATAATAAAAAGAATTAAGAAACAATAATTTTTTATTGAACATGATTATTTTTATTATTATTAATGTATTAAAACTTGTAATTTTTAATAAAAATATATAAATGCTTAAAACGTTGTATGTGAGAGAAAGAGAAAGCAGAGTTATATAATTTAGATAATCATAAATATCTAATATAAAAGTAATTATTTGATGAGAAGCTAAAGTGGCAAATTAATTTTAAAATGTTTATGTAGAAATGAACAAATGAACGTGGATATCTGATGTCAGTTCACGACCTTCTACAGTTCAGAAAACAACTCAAGTTTTTATTTGAAAAAATGGTTCATTTGTAGCTAGCCTTAAAAAAATGATGATTACAAACTCAAAATATGAATCATTAGTGCCTGTTCGTGTAGCTTTTTTGAACTCAAGAGATCCTAAGCCCACTCACTTGGTACAAGGAACCTAGCGATCACAATTGTTTTGGAATAGATTCTTTATATAGTATTCTCGATCAACTAACAAATAGTTTTGTGTTGCAGTATGACAAGATGATCTTAAAATTAAGATGAAGAGCTCATCAAAGCTTTCTATGAAATGCGGTGTTTGCATTGACTTGGCCATCCACTGAATTGCCATTATCACGCGGGGAGAAAAACTTAATGGTAAACCAAATTCGACATGAAAAGGAGCACATCTTATCGTGCGAATATAGTCACTTCTGTTATTTAGATATGTAAAGATTATTATGATATAGGATATTATAGATTATTATTTTTCTATTTTTTCATATTTATGTGTTTAAATAAATAACTCTTAATTGTTCATTATTATTAGCCCAAAAGCATGTGTATTATTTACCGAAGACAATTATATTTAAGTAAGATAAGTATTAATGTAAATAGTAAATTTAGAATAATCTTTTGTGAGTTGCCGTACGACGTACTGTGATTCTAGTAATCAATATAATTTTATTTATTTAAGTGGATGACATTATTGACATTCGAAGTTTTCGAATCCTGAAATGACAACATTTGATAAAAAAGGGAAAAATACACCTTGATCAAATACCAACCATTACTTATTTCTCTTATTGTCGTACAACTCCTTTTAAATTAGACAGCAGTAGTGATCGTGTAACTTTTGTAGTAGTGGATTTTCGATTAAGCAATAAATAAATTATTTAACAAGTAACTGATCTGTGGGTATAAATATTGAGAACGCTAAGCTCGCTCTTGCATTCAGTACCAAACAAAAGTAATAAAGCATTTGCAATCTCACTTCACAAAACAAGAGAGTGAGAGAATAATAGAGAGAGATGGGTGCATTGGCATGTTGTGAGAAGGTATATGAGAAATTCTGCAATGCAAAAGCATATTTGATAATATTGAGCTTGCAATTTGGCTCAGCGGGCATGTACCTTATCACCATGGATGCTCTTAATAAGGGCATGAGTCATTATGTGTTCGTCGTATATCGCAACGTCATCGCCACTGTAACTCTTGGCCCATTCGCATTTTTTCTTGAAAGGTTTAGTTTCCCCTCTCCTCTTGTTATATAATAATTACAATTTTTATTATTTAAATTACTAAAACTTAATATTGTGTACAAGATTATATATTATTATTTATATTTTTTTTACTTAAATTTCTTATTTCTCTATACATATTTCCTTAAAATATACCTAAATATGGTAATAAAAAAACATTTTCAAAGTAATTAACGTTTTTTTTTAAATATATATATATATATATATATATATATATGTGTGTGTGTGTGTGTGTATATAATATTATTACGATGCTACGCTTTAGGAAGAACTAAGTCGTTTTATAGAACTTGGTTTAATACAACTACATTAATCATTTAGTAGTGATATTTTGATTTTTCTTTTATTTTTTTGCGTTTCTTTCTTTTATGTTACTCTTACGCTATTACCTTTCATTGTAAAAGTGGAAGACATAAAAATTCAATAAGTTTATCACTCTTTCAGTTTTATTATAAAAGGTGGAGTATAGGAATAAATTCAAGTGAGAGTGAAGAAAACATTATTTTTAATATTTGTTGGTTTAATATTTTAATAAAAAATTTGTTAAAATAAATTTTAAATCACTATACATAAATGAATTAGGTACTCAAATTAATTTTAATCACAAATTTTACATTAAAACTTAATTTTAACCTAACCAAACAAACAATCAATAGCATTGTTATTATTATTCATTGACAAATAACAATTATTTTTAAGAAACTTGTGAAAAATATAAAAATGAAAAATACTTCTAAAAACACTAATAATCAAATTTGATAATTTTTATTAAATACTTTTTTTTTCCTTAAGGCATTTGTTAGTCCTTATTATTCTTTCATAATACATTAAAAGTAGTATTTCAATTAGGTTACTTGGAGTTGCTATTAACTATTTATCTGTTTCTACTCTTTTTATTTATTATTTTCAGGAAAGTTAGGCCCAAGATGACAGCTCGGATATTTTCACAGATTATGGCAGTGGCTTTTGTCGAGTAACGTCATCCCTTTCACTTACGTGTTTGTGAACAAATTAATGTTTATTTTGACTTTTAACTGATATATATATTTATACATGCATTAAAATAATTATCTAAAACTATATACATATTAAATTACTTCCAAAATATATATATATTTTTATCAAATTAACTTAAATTAATCTTTTTAAAAAATAAAATGATTAAATTAATTATATATGAAGGACTAATTTAAAATTATTATTGATGAATAAAAGAATAAAGTGAGTAATATCACCTGAATTTTTAATCAACTAAAAATTATGCCTACTTTTATTCTAATTGGAATAAAAGCAAAGTTGAATAAATAAAACAAAAACGAGTTTAGCAAATCTTGTGCGTGTACGTTTATACCCAATTTAACGTGCCAATTGTATATATGCTGTTGTTTGATACAGGATAATACTTGATCAGTGCTTCACCTTCTTGGGGATGAAGTTAACGTCAGCATCATTTGCATCTGCTGTGATGAATTCCGTACCCTCCATTACCTTCGTACTAGCAATCATTTTTCGGTGCGTAAGATATTTAATCAAAGTGACATATATTTAATTAATAATTGTAACATGACGCATATGGAAAACAAGCACGTACCCAGTGAATATCCTCCTAAGATCCCATTATGCCTTTAGCTTCCTCTACCAACAGCATGAGGCAGGGTCTAATTGGCTCTCTCCATGTTTAACTTTACTTATGCATTTGTAGTGAAAGGCCCGTATCACCCCATTTACTCATTCCATGAATGCAGGTCATTTTCTATCTGCACCAAAGAAATAATCAATATATATTAGTTGTTGAATTTGCAAGATAGGGGTGTTTGCTTATTTTCTTATTTTTATTTCATATGTTTTTACTATAAGTATAAAAATATTCTTTTTTTACTATATTCATAAGTATTTATTTTTTAAAATTTCAACAACAACAAGAATAAACCATTTATGTAGTTGTATAATAAAAACATTATTTTCCTCCGAAACTCATGTATGTACAACTCAACAAAAAAATTTCTATCTCTTTAACATATTTTGACTATTGATGGTTGTTTTCGTCTACAAAGAAAATAATTGCTGCCTGGCAAGTATATAACTAAGTTGCCAGAGCCACTTTTCCCGGCTTAATTTATTCATCCTGAATCATATGAAAAATTTTCTTTTCCTTTTGAGCTTTCAAATAATCTGATTTCACCGGTTTCATTCATGCATCTTTAATTTCTTTAAACACGAGAGTTAATGCATAGATATATTTTACTAATTTTTTAAATTTGAAATAAGATAATAAGGAACAAAATTAGACCAAATGGTCATCGAAATTCTAACAATTAAATTGTATTATTAACTAATGTCATTAACTAATTATATAAAAAATTTAAATAAAGACTGACGACAATAATATCATTAAAAACAATTATAAATTTTCATGTATTTGATTATCCTCATCTTACTTTAGACTATGACTAGGAAAAGATCCTGAGCCGAGTCTTATGTATTGTTTATTTGCAGTTGATTTCTCTTTCCTAAACTTAAATGACGTTTTCGGTTTTTTGCAAACGCATGTAAAATATACAACTGTAAATCTACCGTACCCGTAAAAGATATACAGCAAATGCATATATTATATAGAAACTGGTAGATAGAAAAATAATTAATTATATTTGAGCAGGTTGGAGCGCATGAACATTAAGGAGCTAGGATGTTTAGCCAAAGTGGTTGGCACTGTAGTTAGTCTTGGAGGTGCTTTCCTAATGACACTGTACAAAGGTCCAGTTGTTAACGTTGCAGGGTCATCAGCAAGCCACGCGAGCCAGCCTGAGAATGTGAACGACCCCACTGGTAGTCACTGGCTCATTGGTGCTTGTTTTCTCCTCATAGGTTGTGCAGGCTTCTCTGCTTTCTACATTTTGCAAGTAAGTTTAGGCACTTGAGCATTTGTCCAATTTAGTTTTAATTTTAGATATATACTACTGATCAAGGTTTGAAATCTTGATTACGCATTAATCACATGCAAGAGTTTGGATTTTCTAATTAACATGACAAGTGTATTTTAAATGATAAGAAATAATTATAATTATTGACTAGAAAATTAACTATTCAAATAATGAAGAAAAAGATTTCAGGTGTAATAAATCATATTCTTAAAAACACAATTCATAAATTTTATAATAAAATTATTATGACTGCACATTTAATTTTTAAGGTGATATGATAGTTTTTTCATTCTCATTTATGATAAATTTATTTTATAAGCTGCTTAATTATTCTATCCTTTTATTAATATAAATTTTATCTTAAAGGGTATCTGTATTATAAATAAACATAGCTTGATAACATAATATATTTAATTTATTATTTTAATATGCATCATATATATAAAATAATCTATGAACACATTATATTTTAATCTAACTCTAATATCTTATCTTTTCTATATTGTCCTAAAATTTAAAATCAAAATAGCAATTTAAAACCTTATTGATTGTATATATTATAAGGGAACTTATGCATGATATGATTATTTGCAGGCTATGACATTGAGAAAGTACCCAGCAGAAATGTCTCTGGCAACCTGGATTTGCTTTGTGGGTGCACTTCAAAGCTCGGCATTGACTATTTTCATGGAGCACGATCGCCCTCATGCCTGGTCTCTAGGCTGGGATTCTAGACTTTTAGCATCTGTATACTCGGTTAGTACCAATTGTTTTGGCTCAACTAACAATGGCCCAACCCCGTTACATTATTTGCTTTATTTTGACATGCTTTGTTAATTTATGACGCAGGGAATAGTAACATCAGCGATCCAATTTTACGTTCAAGGCATGGTTATTAAAACTACGGGGCCAGTGTTTGTGACTGCATTTAACCCCTTACGTATGATCATTGTCACGGCCATGGCCTGCATCATCCTCTCAGAGAAACTCCATCTTGGAAGGTACTACCCAGTGCTACTGTTCAATTCACGTCTCATTGATCTTGTTTCTTTTCCGTAAAATACATTTTTAATCTTTATAATATTGTAAGAATATTAACCTCATTTTCCATTTATATGATGAATTAGCATTATTGGAGGAGTGGTGGTGGTTATTGGGCTTTATCTAGTCGTGTGGGGCAAAGCGAAAGAACAGAAACAAGTAATGCCACCGTTACCTGAAAAGGACACCCAACAAGGCCAACAACAACTACCAGTTACAATACCCAGAAGTGATGGCAATGATAATAAAGCTCAATTAGTCATAATTGGAGATAAGAACAACGACGTGGAAGCCATAAGATCAAGTGTAGAGGGCCAGTCACAGTAATCCACCACTTTCAGTTTAAATGAATTTTATTCGATCGGATCAGAAACCAATGGTGACATAGTGCGACACTGGCCCAAGACCGATGTATTATGAATTATAACTTGTTTCCCAAATCCTTCCAAATTTGGATAGTCTATGCGAATTCTCAGCTTCACCTCTGCGTTTGACGAGTTATAACTTGAATTCTATATTTTCAATTTTATATTGTCTTTTAGTAAAGTTTATCATTTTCGACCACTAGCACGAGATTATTTTAATTAATCTCGAGCATAAGTTTTGAGAATGTAACTCTGTGTTAAATATTTTAAAAAAGAAAATTGTTACTCGTAGTAGTCATGCTTATATCGAGCAAGATTTTCTCTCATAAAGTTATATGTGCTTTAAAAAGAAAACATTATCATTTTGGCAGTTTTTGCTTGTGTTTCGAGACTTCCCTGTCCAAAACAGGTTTCTTTTAATTAAGTATAACACTGCATTTTGAATCGTAGTCTACAATTGCAGTTGCAGCCACAACATTAAAGCCATTATCACTTGATGAACCACACGATGATGGCGATTACAATCACAATCGCATCACCTGTATTTATCAGCAATTTTTCACAGTATTAAGGATCATAATGTAACTAAAATCGTAAGTTAAAATACTAATACTGTTTAAGAACATTTGGACGGGTCCAACTCACTCTAATCAGAAGGCTTAGAGTAAGGATAATATTGAATAAGAGACAACTCACTCTATTGTTTATTAGGTGTTTTTTTAGGCATCTCCACAACTTGGTCGTGGTCTTCCTCTTCCACTTGCACAGTTGGTTTCTAAGTTCTAACGAGAAATTTTTCCACAAAATCGCGAAAGAGAGGTTTGAATTGGTGAGAAAAAAGAAGACGACTTTAGGGTGGGAGCTAAGTAGGAGGTTGTGTGGGCGACGACAAACTAGATCCACTGGTTGTTGGTAATAAACATGTTGAAAGATAACAACAGTGGCAAAAACTAAAAACATTGGAACAAACTTTTTTTAAGTACTTTTTTTTTTCAGGTGAATTTCTATTATTCAGCTTATTGCTTAGTAGAACTTAAGAGTCTAAGTGTTCAAAATGTCAAGTACTAACTCTTAAATTTTTTACAGGGACTAAAATAAAAGAAAAATTGTAACTTTTTAAGGACAAAAAACTAAATAATTAAGCCTAAATTTTTTATAAGTCTACATTGATATGGCATCAATGAAAATACTTTTGCATGCTCTCTAATCTTCTTTCTCAATTTTGTGTAAAATTTATTTTTCATGGAGGATCAATCAAATCCTTTCTATCTTTATGCTTTGGAAAATTCAAGCTTCATTCTTGTCTCTTAGCCGCTCACCATTGACAATTACGTGTCATAGTCTCATGCCATGAAAATAACATTGATTGGTAAAACTAAATTGGATTTTGTGAATAGTTTTATTACAGAGATGTGATGAAGATCATCCTAATTTCTAAGCTTGACAACGCAAAAATAGCTTGGTTTCTTCCTAGATGATCAATTCAATTTTTAATAAAATAACTACAAGTGTAATTTTTGCCTCTACAACCGTTGTAGTTTAGATAAGTCTTATTGGGCATCAATAGTACTTTCCTCATTGGAGATCTATTCAAAGAAGTTTACATGGAACTTCCTTTAGGATACAATGTCTTAAACCCTAAATTGGTATATAAATTGAATAAATCATTATATGGTCTCTGATAAACATCCAAACAATAGTTCTATAAGTTACCTGCATCTTATATTACTAATAATTTTTATCAATTAAGAAATAATTATTCTTTATTTGCTAATGATTCAGGTAATTCCTTAGTTATTCTGCTTGTCCATATAGATGATGTAATTCTTGTAGGACCTAATTCTCATATTACTTGAAGTTCAACTATCATTACAATAGTTATTCAAACTATAATTGCCTGGAGACTTTTAAATATTTTCTTGATTTGGAAATAGCCAAATCTTCCAAGGGCATTGCCTTATTCCAATGAAAATACACATTTCAACTTTTAGAAGATATAGGTTTTTTGACTTTCAAACAAACCAATTTGCCAATGGATCCATCACTCATACTCATAGAAATTATATGATTATTACTTGTTTATTGGGCTTGATTAGGAGGCTAATGTACTTAACGATTTCTAAGTCATACATCACCTATGTTATTAGCAAATTGAGTTACACAACAACAACAAAACACTTGATTTGCCACCAAATTTAGCAACCAAAATAAATTCATAGTAAAAAACAACCAATTTAACCATTAAAAAAAATCTGCTATAAATAGCAATCAAATTTAGCAACAAAAACAAAATCTATAGCAAATGTGACAAATTGCAATCAAAAAAAATTCATGACAAATAGCTACTGATTTTAGCAACTGAAAAAAATTCTTACAAATAACTATTGAATTTAGCAACCAAAACACATATGTGGCAAATAACTACTAAATTTAGCAACTGAAACAAAATCGTGACAAGTGTTATTTTTACACCAAATACAAAAAATAACATAAAATTTATATTTTTATAATAACAAATTAAATTCTATAATTTTTTAATTAAATATTTTGAATATAATAAAATATATGTTATTAAAAATAAAAATATTTTCTTAATTATTTTCAAATTTAATTTAAATATTTTTAATCTAAATGCCTATAAATGATTATATATATTTCTATAATATTTTAAAAGATAAAAATTAATTTATACTTATATGTAGAATTTTTAAAATAAAAAAATAATAATATTTTAAAAAAATATAAAAATATAGTTGGTACATAAAAAATGATATACAATTCATATTTTTTTAAAACAACAAATTAAAACCATTTTAAAAATAAATAAACTACAATTATTAAATGTTACCTAAAATTAAAATAAACAATGATTATAAAATAAAAATTAGGTTTATAGTTATAACTATCGTAAAATAAATTATTTTAAAATTTTCAATAATAACATTCAATTATTGTTGGTTGATATTTAAAATATAAAATAATTATTGATTGTTGCATAAAATTATTCAAATTATTCTATTATCATCATATTATTGATTTAATAACATAAAATTAATAATTTTTATAAATAACATAGTTAAGTTCTTAAAATATAATAAATGATAATTATTTATTTATGTCTAAATTATAAAATAATAATTATAAATCATTGTAATAAATTTAAACTATATTTTATAGTTGTGATAAGAATAATTAATACCAAATGAGTTTTTAAAGCAAGACAATATTTAATTTACGTTGTTTAATATTTAAATTACAAACACAAATCTATATTTTTCTTTACGTGAAAAATTGATCTTTAATTTTAATTTCCACTACACTTTTCGTTATGTTCAATATAATAAAATTTATATGAAAAAGCTCAATTTAGTATAATTTATTAAACAATTTATTTGTTTTAAAACAACTCAATTGTCATAGTATATAAAATTAAAAATAAACATCATAATACTACTATAAAATTATAACATTAAAAATAGTTAAATAATTATTTATTATATTGTTTCATTTTTATAATTATTTAAATAAAAATTAATAAATAGTATCTCAAAAAATAATTACAGTAGTTTTATTTTTAAATTAAAACACTTATCTTGAAAATTTATTATAATAATATATTTAAACATTTGAAATATTTCTAAATCTTATTTAATTTTAAAAATATTTTTTATACACACTACTTTCAAATGTTTTATGACTGACTGTGAAAAATTCATATCATTGTGAATTTAATTCATATCAATCTATATTCAAATTTTATATTTAACATATGATCTCGTAAATGAAAATGTATCTTAATTTAAATAATTTTTTTCAAAATTTTTTCTTTAACATTAATAATCTTATTTTTAATTCATTATATTTAATATAACAAAATATTAATTATTAAAATAAATATATTTTCTAGAAATAATAAATTTTTATAATTCTTTAGGAAATAAAAATTTATACATATATATATATGTACATATATAATTTTTTAAATGAAAAAATAAATTTTTTTAAAATATAAAAAATATGGTAAGTTACAAAAATTTTCCTCTCGAAAAAAAAAAAACTACGTCGTTAGGGCGCATAAAGTAAGCAGCTGAATTCTAAACTAAAAACAAATTTTTCTCCCCTGTGCAGAGGTCAAGCCCTTATAAAGTAAAATTAGTGAGTCAATTAGCTTTCACTGACGAGGCCTTTAGTAGATATCACATGGAAAGGACATTCATCCTTTGAAAAGGTCTAACGTGTAACATCTTCATTTTGTAATTTATCATTTTTGCAATTAATATTAGTTGTTTGTGCATGTTATTTGAAATTAGAAGTGTTTAATTGATGTTAACTATATAGAATATCTCGCTGTAGCGAGACAAATCTTGTTGTAGCGAGAATGAGGCAGTGAAAATAGAACATTTTGAAGCCCTCTTGCTGTAGCTAGAATCTCTCAATATAGCGAGAATGCTCTTGCTGTATCTAGAATGACAGACAGTAAAGGAAGAAAACTTTTGATTATTTTGCTGTAACAAGAAAGTCGCAAGTTTGAGAGGTATTTAAACAACTCTCGCCTTAAAATCTTCATTTCCATCCAAATCACATATCTCTCTCCATCCTCTTTGTTCTCTCCTTCTCCACATAACCTATTTTAGTAAAAACCTATGATTTTATGGTGAAAGGATATTTTGGGTAAAATAAAGACTTTGAGTTCTTTAAAAGAAATGAAATCGGATTCTTAGAGAATGTATATGGATTAAGTAATAGAAGATATTCAATAATGAACTCTAGGTTAGGAGACTACCTTGAGATAGTATGAGTTAGGTTTAGTCCAAAGGTGTCTGACCTTCGGCGCATTGTATTGCATGTATGGTGTGACATTGTGTTGTAGTCTCTGTGATAAGGTTGATGTATTGTATTGGTTGCGTGATATGACTTTGTATGACCACTTTATATGTTGAACTGGTATGATGCAATAAGTGT